CAGGCTAACCCATCTTCCCACTATTTGACGCATTTCATTAGACATATAAATTTATTATAATGACGCACCTTAACCTGAGAAGCATTGACTATTTTAGCCAAAATTACTTTTTATATATTAGCAGTCAAATTTTCAAATTTTGGGGTATTTGACAAATGCACCGTAATGATAAAATTTTATCAAAAATTTTGTGACAATAATTTTATATACAATTGTTAAGATTAATAATAACTGAATCATTTCTGATTTTATATACCCCCTTTTTTTTTTCTTTCATATTTATTATAATACTTTTAGATGAATAGTAAACAAGACCCGGAGACACCAAGAGAATGTTGAAATCGTCTTTCTAGAGAATCTTATGCAAGGCGAAGGTTATTGCTCACCACAGAACAACTTGATTATCAACGTGCTCAACAACGTAATATTTATAGAATTCGTACAGAAGCAGAATCAAATGAACAAGCTGAATATCGGCGTAAAACTAGACGTGCAGCATATATTACTTCAAATAATGCTGCCCGTATACATATATATAACACTAATTCTGTTTTATGGCACTGTTTGGGTTCAATGAAAATAGAATGTCCTCAATGTCAAGCATTACACTGGATTGAAGAAAGGGTAGCTGGTGGTGCACTTGCACCAGTTTTTAGTATCTGTTGTGCAAATGGCAAAGTAAATCTGCCAGCAATCAATCAATCACCTGAGCTTTTACTTTCATTACTTGCTGAAGAAGATAGCAGATCACGTAGTTTTCAAAAAAATATTCGCAAGTATAACTCAGTATTATCTTTTACATCAATGGGTGCAAAGATTGATCGAAGTGTGGTTGGTACACGTGGTATATATAATTTTCGAATCCATAGTGAAGTATATCACCAAATAGGTTCACTTTTACCAGATATTAATATGATGCCTGCATTTTCACAAATATATATTTACGATATTGAAGAACAATTAACTTATAGACAAAGTATAATGCCTGATCTTGATCTTTCGATTCTTGAACAACTTCAAGAAATGTTACATGCTGTTAATCCATATGTTCATATTTTTCAACAAATTGCATATATTTTGAGTGAAAATTCTGGTCCAAACTTAAAATTTGTTATTATTAAAGCACATAATAACCGACAGTATATAACTCCTACAGCATCAGAAATTGCTGTTCTTATGGTGGGAAATGGTCAAGAAACTGAACCATCAAACTGAGAAATTGTGCTTTACAAACATGATGGCAATTTACATCATATTTCACAGTTACATCCTTCTTATATTCTGTTACATTATGTTTTACTCTTTCCATATGGTGATTCAGGATGGCATCCTTGTATTCTTGCAAGAAATATAGCTCATAGAAGAAACAATAATCAAAATACAGAAGAGTGTGATAATACTAATTCACGTTATATTACAATGATGCAGTACTATGCTTATCAATTACAAGTACAAATGAATAATCCATCTACATTACATAGAAGTGGCCGTTTATTTTAACAATATATAGTTGATGTGTATGCTTGCATTGAACAAAATCATCTTAATTATCTAAAACACAACCAAAAGCAGATTCGTGCTGAATTATATAGTGGATTACAGGATGCACTTTCAGCTCATGATGAAACACCAAGAGTTGGTTCACAAGTAGGTCATAGAATAGTACTTCCATCCAGTTTTGTTGGTGAACCCCACCATATGCAACAATTGTATCAAGATGCAATGGCTATAGTTGGACAAATAGGCAAACCAGACTTATTTATTACAATGATATGTAATCCAATTTGGCCAGAAATTCAAGCTGCTTTATTATCAGAACAAACATCACAAGATCGACCTGATATTTGTGCTCGAGTATTTCATTTAAAACTACGAGCTCTTCTTGAAGATATTATTAAAAATGGTATCTTTGGTAAAACACTGGTGTATATTTATGTTATTGAATCGCAAAAACGTGGTCTTCTACATGCTCATTTGCTAATAATACTATCTCCTAATTGCAAACTATGTACAACAGAAGATTATGATTGCATTATATCAGCAGAAATTCCAGATCCGTATACATGTCCATATGAATATGCAACTATAATACAATGTATGATGCATGGTCTATGTGGAGAATATAATATGTGTGCACCTTGCATGCAAGATGGCAAATGTTCAAAAGGTTATCCTAAACCTTTTCAACTTCTAACTTCTCAAAATGAAAATGGTTATCCAATATATCGTCAACGAAAAAATGGTCTTACTGTTAAAGTTAAAGATGTGATCTTAATAATCGATGGGTTGTACCTCACAATTTATATCTTATTAAGAAATTTAATTGCCATATTAACGTTGAAGTTTGTTCTTCAATACATGCTGTTAAGTATTTATTTAAATATATCTACAAAGGTCATAATTGTGCAACAATAGCTCTTAGTGACAATAAAAATATAAATGAAATTCAGCAATATATTGATACATGTTATGTATCAGCACATGAAACTATATGGCGTATAATGCATTATAAAATGCATGATGAAGCACCTGATTTTATACGCTTAGTTGTGCATCTTCCTAATCAACACTTAATTACTTTTTATGATAATGAATCTGTTGCCAGTATTAACAACGTGCACAAAACCAAAAGACCACTTTAACAGCATGGTTTGATGCAAATTGTGATCAAAATATTTATCAATTGTCAAAAA